CGCTGCGCGGCCCCGGTGGGCAGTGGGGCGGGCGTTGGGGGTGCAGAGTTCGGGGGGGGATCCCCGGCTGCTCCTGCGGGGGTGTCGGGCCTGGGGAGGCCCCCGGGGTCAGGAGGTTGTGGAGCGGCTGTGGCAGGGGTCAGCCCCCCTGCCCTGGGATCGGGCCCCCGCACGCCAGGCCTGGCTGCCTGTGGGCTGTTGCCTTTCGTGGCCAAAGACGGGCGCAGGTGGCGGCACGGTGGCGGCACGGTGGTGGTGGTGCGGTGGCACGGCGGTGGTGGCACGGTGGTGGCGCAGGCAGCCGGTGTGCGAGTGCCCAGCCTGCCCGGTGCCCGCGCCGTGCCGGGCAGCTCAGTGCCCAGGTAGGGATGCCAGCCGGTGCCTGCCGAGCCGGCGCTGCCCATGGCTCTGTGCCCCGCGGGCCCTGCGGCGGGTCCTCTCGCGCTGGGCTGGGGCCTGGCGTCCCTGCTCTGGGGCCGCCCCGTCTAGGTGGCGAAGGGAAGAGGCTGCCCGAGGCAGGTGGAGAAAGTTCCAGTCAGTCCCAGCGCCCGCTGGAACCGCTGCCAGGCACCCGGCGGGAACAGAGCCGGGGCGGGTCCGGCGTCTGGCCAGAGCTGAGCTCCCTGGGTAGGCAGGAGGGCGCCTGGCCCCGCACCCAGCTTCGAAACCCAGGCCTGGCGCGGGGGATGGCGGTGGACGTGGAGCAGGGAGCCCTGTGGGTCCGGGAGAAGGTGTGACGCTGCTGATCTGAGCACAAGGCCAGGCCAGGCCGGCTGGTCTCCCCTGCCCTGGGTAATGCCCCTCCTCGGGGTCGCTCTGCGTTGGGCTCAGAGCCCCCCTGTGCACCCCAGGAAAAGTACAGAATTGAAGGCACAAAATCACACGCTGGGTTTGCGAAATCCCTTATTTACCAACAGAACCGAGCTGGGGCCTCACCCGGCCCCGGGACCTGCTGACCACGGGCGGGGAGGGAGAGTGAATTAGTTTAAGGCACGTGCTGAATGTGCAGGGGAGGGGAGGGGAGGGCCCAAAGCAGCCCCGCGGCTGAAGGAAACAGAAGGGGGGCATTGTATGGGGCAGCGGGCGTCTGCCCCACGCTGTCGTCACTGAAATGGGGACGGCCCAGAGAAGGGCATTAAGCAAGCTGGGGCTGAGGGGGGCAGAGTCGGTGCGCCCGGCTGGTGGCGGTGGGGGCCGTGTGAGCCGAGATGGGCGTGGGTCTGCGGGAAGGCCGGGGGGGTAAAGGCCAGGAGGAGGCACCTGGATGTAATGGGGAGACAGTGGAGGGGTTCGGAGGCCGGGGCCACAATCTCAGCTGCTGCAGATCGAATGGATTCTGGGGTGCGCCAGGAGGAAGCTGCAGCATAAACTAACCTGTGGAACTCGCTGCCCTAGGGAAACGGCACGGCTGTGACTGACGCCAGGGCCCCCATGTAAACAAATGACCCCATTTCCCCAGCAGCCAGGCGCCCTCCGCCGCCCTCGTCCCCAGCGCGGTCACTGCCGGAGCGGGCAGCCTCGCCGCCGAGCTATTCTTACTCCTCCCTTGTTGCGGGATTAGATGTTTATAGTAGCTGCTAAGCTCCTTAATATTGACAGACTGACTAGGGAGGGGCCAGGCCCGGCTCCCAGGCCCCCATCTGTCCCTGGTCTCTGGCCCCTGCTTACTGCCCCCCCCCGCCCCCACAACGACCTGGGAGGGCTTCTGCAGTGCCCCCAAGGGCCAAGGCGCCTGCCCTTCGGCCCCCAGCTCCCTCCTTAGCACCTCCACTGGGAGTAAACTGCCTATAAACCCCTGGGCTCTAGAGATTTGCAGAAGGGGGGAGCGATGGGGGCTGGGGGCACTCGGCCCCTCTGGAGCTGAGTGGGCCCCCTGGCTAGGGGCCTGTCGTGCTGGGCACTGCCCGGGCGCGTGGGGAGGGTGGTCCTGGGCTGCCTGGTATTGGTTGACGCTGGCAGCTCCCTCCCCCAGCCGGCTGCGAAACGGGTTCTAGCAGGGACCCCTCCTTGCCCCTTGTCACCGCCCCAGTGCCGGAGGCCGGCCAGGCTGGGGGCACATCCTGAAGGAGTGCCCGAACGCTGGCCCCAGAGTTCCCCACCCCAGCTGCCCCAGTCATCACCACACGCAGTTCTCCCGGGCACCTGATTAACAGACCCCTCCCTCTCCCCCCCAGGAGGTAAGACCCTAAGGGCAGCTGGGTGCTTGGAGGGGCTGGGGTGGGATAAGCAGCCAGCCTGGTCTCCGCTCCTCCCCTTTGCTGCTCCCCACGCACTGAAGAGCCACCAGGGGGTGTGCGGGTGTGGCCCTGGGTGCTGGGGTGTATCCCTGTGGCCGGGTGGAGAGGGAGAATGGGGGGGCTCAGACATGAGGGAGAGAAGCAGAAGCAAACGTCCCGTGGGGAGGCTCAGCGAGGGACCCCTGGCGAGGAGGGGGTGTCCCATGGGGGTGAGGTCCTGCCCTCCAGTGGCTCAGGGAGGGGTGGGACCCTGTGGGGTGCCAAGAAGCAGGGTCCCTTTAAGAATCTGCAGCTGGTGCGGTCCCTGCGCTCGGGCTGTGACAGAGACAAGTGCCCCTGGAGCTCTGGCTGCCGGCGCCCGACGTGGGTGGGGGCCCGCCAGCTTCGTGCCACAAATAACCCCCTAGCATTCCTGCTGCCGGGGCGGGGGGCAGAGAGGCTGAGGCCGCAGAGGGGTGGCAGTGTGAAGGTGAGGGGGCGAGCGAGGGGACCCCGTCCTGGCTCAGACACTGCTCGGCCCGGGACAGCCCAACGGACCTGCAGCTAGGCAGGGACTGAGGACAGATGGGGCCCAAGGGCCCAGTCCCGAATCTGCCTGCTGCATCAGCAGCTGCCCCTGTGCAAAGAGGGTGGGACGTCCTCCTCTGGAGCTGGCCAGGAATCGGGCCCCAGTCGGTCTCTGCGGCTGTGTTTGCCGGGCTGGCCCCCTCTGGCAGGGGACAGACAGACCCGGTTGCTGCTCTTTGGGACATGGGGACGGGCGGCTGTTTCTCCCTGGTGCCAGCGCGGTGCTGGGTGGCTCCAGATATGCCTGACGTTGCCCTTCCTCCCCAGCTGCACCGCTGGCCCCTGCCGGACAGACGGGCGCCATGGTGGAGTACTACGAAGTGCTGGGTGTGCCCCGAAATGCCTCCTCGGACGACATCAAGAAGGCGTAAGTCCTGCCCCATCCCGGGTCGCCCACGCTTTCCACTAGCAGCTGCTGCCTGGTCCGGGGCCCCCTGTGCTGTGTCAGAGTCAGCACCGGCTCAGGGTACAGTGGGGCTGGATGAGCGCTCGAGGGGCAGCGGGGCCTAGTGGGCAGGGCCCTGGGCTGGCGCTTGGGAGCCCTGGGATGCGGCCATGCTCTGCCACTGACCTGCTGCGACCTTGGTCAAATCCCTTCCCCTCAGGCCTCGCTTCCGTGGCTGGGCGATGGTGGCGACAGGCCATCCGTGGGCTGTTTGCTTCACGCTTGGGGGCAGGGCTTGTCCCACTCTAGGCCTGTGCACCCCCCTCCATCTCGGGTGGGGCCTGGCCTGACAGCTTCCCTTAGACTCCCTGCCACAGCCGGCTCCGCAGCACTCCATTGCGGGGTGTGCGTGTGGGCGCGCGGCACATGACAATCCTGCCTGGGATTGTCAGACTTGGGTCCCCTTGGCTCAGTTTTTAAGGTGCAAGATTCAGTTTGTAGCAAAGTCCCTCCCGAGGTAAGAAGCAGGATTGAAGACCAGATGGAGATGAGGCATCAGCCTTATATAGTCTTTTCCAGGTGTAAGAACACCTCTTTGTTCTTACTGTGGAAAATTACAGCAAAATGGAGTCTGGAGTCACATGGGCCAGTCCCTGCATACTTTGCTGAGTTACAAGGCGTATCTGCCTTCTCTCAATGGGTCAGTTGTGTAGCTGATGGTCGTTAATGGGCCATCAAGCAGGCTAGGCAGAGCTGACATCAACTTGTCTGGGGTGTCACCCAGAAGCACAGCACAAGTTTGCCATACAGACAGTCTAGAGCCAATATTCATAACTTCAACTACAAAATTGATACACACATATAGACAGCATAATCCTAACCAGCAAACCAGAACCTTGTCTTGGACACCTCATTTGACCCCCTTTATACCAGATTTGGTGCCACTACAGGACTTTGGTTGCAACAATGATCTATATGGTCCCAAATTATATCAGTAACGTCACACCTGGCACGGGGTGGCTGCCCACCTGTCGTTTGGTCTCGGGGTTGGCTGGCACAGGGGGGAGGGCTGGCACCTGCTGCCGGCAGAGCTGGGGGTCACTGCCTGTCTCTCTCGACACTGTGCAGGTACAGGAAGGCGGCACTGAAATGGCACCCGGATAAGAACCCAGAGAACAAGGAACACGCCGAGCGGAAGTTCAAAGAGATCGCAGAGGCCTACCAAGTGCTGTCGGACAGTAAGGGGCCGGCTTCTCCCCTCCCCCTTCGTTTCCCGACACCTGGCGCTGGAGCCGTGGGGCTGGAAGGGCCCTCGAGGGGTCGCTTAGTTCAGCCCTGCACCGCAGTAGGGCCGAGCAGCCTAGGCCAGCCCTGACGGGCTGTTGCTAAAGCCTCCAGGGACAGGCTCACCGGCCCCGGGACGTCTGCTCCTGAATGTAGCTCCCGGGGGGTCAGAAGCTTTTCCCGCTCTCGCCCCAAGTCCCCCGCGCTGCGGAGCAAACCCAGCACTGGGGCGTCCACATGCAGCGTAGCCCCGGGGCTGGGCCGGGGACTCGAGCACCCCCCTTGCACTGCAAACCAGGGCTGGACCCGGCTCTCAGCCAGACCCCGCTCTGCAGCCCTTCTCACCCGGGGCTGGAGCTTGGGCTGCGTCCACACTGCAAAGCGACAGGGCTTGGCCCTCGCCCAGCGGGACTCTGGCTCTGACCACCCCCAGCAGGGCCCTAGAGCCCCGGGCCTGAGGGCTTGCTGAGCTGTCTGCCTGGCGCGTGTGTGGACGGCACGTGGGCTCGAGCCGGGGTTAGAGCCCAGCCTTAGTGTGCAGCGTAGACAGGCCCTTAATCCCCATCCTCTGGAGCCTGCTCTCAGGCCTCATCTCCAGACAACGCGCCAGGTTTAAACCCTCCCTCGCAGGGCAGGTGCTAAACCTTGGATTGGGTGCGTTGCTCTCCCATTGCTTCACGTCTTTCCTGATGCGCGGCCCCCAGACCTGGCCGCAGCCTGCCGCTGAGGCCTCCCCAGTGCCGAGCAGAGCAGGCCAATGACCCCCCCGGTAACACACCCCAGCGTGAGCAGCCTTTCCCTGGCCGTGTCCCGTGTGGACTCCTAGTCAGTGTGTGATCTACTGGGACCCCCAGATCCTGCCCAGCCAGTTCCCCAGGTTGGTGTTGAGGGGAGCTGCTGTGCTCCGTATGGACGGTGTCCCCGTCGCTCCCAGCCGTGCGAGTGCCCCCGGGCCGTAGGCCAGACGGTTTCCCTGCCCCTCAGCGGAGCAGGCCCTGAGACGGCCCTGTGCAAGCAGCCTCCAGCCTGGCTGCATCCTGCCCCGGTGCAGGGCCGGGGTGCACGGAGACTGCATCTCTTCCTGCTCCTCCCTCCGCCCAGGATCCCTGCACAGGCGCACTCTGCCCCCTTGTGTCGGTGCTGCCCGGGGGAGCCTGCTGAGGTCACTGACTCAGGGTGAACCGCAAACAGACCGGGGCAGACAAACCCCGAACGCTGGTGGATCTTCCAATACTTAGATTTACCAACCAGCACAGAACAGCCTCTGTATCACCTCACTGGTTACTCAGACGTCCAAACAACGCAGTTCCCTTAACGTGCCCAGCCTCAGGCCTCCGTCCAGACCCACCTGTCAGATACGATTCTCAGGAATCATCATCGTATCTCATCATATAAAAGAAAAGGTCTTCCAAAGGGTCAGCCACACACCCAGGTCCAATTATAACTTAGATCTTACCCAAAATACACACTATAGCCAATTCTTATTAACTAAGCTAAAATTTATTACAAAAGAAAAGAGAGAGAGTGTTGGTTAAAAGATCAATATACAGACAGACTTGAATTCAATTCTTGAGGTTCAGATGCATAGCAGAGGTGAGCCTGTAGTTGCCAAAAGTCCTTTTAGAAATAGTCCAGAGGTTATAGTCCAATGTCCATGTTCAGGGTGGCTCCAGTCAGTGACTGGGGATCTCAATCCTTGTGGCTTAAGGTTTCCCCCTCTTGAAACCCAAAGCAGATCTGAGATGAAGCAGGATCATGTCCCAGGGTTTTTATACATTTCCTGCAGCCTTTTGGCCTGAGAAAGCAATAGGCTTAACTCTCCTTCTCCCAACCATCCTGGCAATTAGCACAGGGTAATTTATCCATGAAACAGTTCAGATACAGGTTACCACAATCTTCAAAGAGACACTAATACTGTTTCCCTCAAGTGTCTTCCTAAATGTTAATATTCCTTTTTTGATCTTTGAATCAAAGTTATAGTAATAGACAAGACTTGTTTGCTGACATCACAAGACCTGAGCACACAGCTCCCCTTCTACCTCTAACAACGCAGACTTGCATTTCAAAGCTCTGTTCATTTACAGATCTTCCTAACCAGTCTCTAAAGTTGGGCCATGGGTCAGGTCAGTCTGAGTTGATTAACTCTTTCTGGCCCTGTCACCTTCCAACGAAATATTATATTACACTCATAACGTCACACCCCTCCCCCCCGGTCCCTGCACTAGAGAACGCTGAGCTGCCGGAGCCCCTGCGCATTGCGTGCGCCTCGCTGGATTCATTCATGCCCCACAGACCAGGCGCGCTGTCGGAGCTTGGCCCTCGCTGCTGCGCTCCAGGCCTAGGGTAGCCCCAGGCTAGGGTGACCAGATAGCAAATGTGAAAAATCGGGACGGAGGTGGGGGGTAATAGGAGCCTATATAAGAAAAAGCCCCAAATATCAGGACTGTCCCTATAAAATCAGGACATCTGGTCACCCTACCCCAGGCGTCCCATGGATCATGGGGGGCTGGGTTAGATCATGAAGGTCCTTCACATTGCCTGGAACCGCTCTGATCCGACGCTGCTCAGAGACCCCGTGAGCCTGGCGTGGGGCACCTGGGGAGCCGCCAGGGGACATCCCACCCCCGCACCAGCCCCGTGGGTTCCAGAGCCACAACACTGGGTCGAAAGTCCCCAGACTGTTCAAAGCAAGTGTTGGGTTCTCGTCTGCACTCCCGTGTCTGAGCCCTGGGGGGCGCCATCTGGGGCTTTGCTCTGCAGCCAGGAAGGGGAGAAAATCGCAGCTGACAGTCCTGCCCCATCCCGTGACTCCGAGAGCTGGAGCTTTAGTGCTCCCCCCTATGGCACAAGAGCTGGTGACGCTGCCCCCCCCCCCCGCAGGACCCATTCTCTCCCCCTCCCCAGCCCAGCCCTGCTGGAGTGGCGGGGGCCGCCTAACTCTCCCCTCCTGTCCCCGCAGAGGAGAAGCGTGACGTCTACGACCGCTATGGCAAGGAAGGCCTCATGGGAGCAGGTGAGCCGGCCATGCTGGGGGGAGGAGCCGTGCTGGGGGAGCTGAAATGGGGGGAGGGGGAATCTTGCACCTTAAAAACTGAGCCAAGGGGACCCAAGTCTGACAATCCCAGGCAGGATTGTCATGTGCCGCGCGCCCACACGCACACCCCGCAATGGAGTGCTGCGGAGCCGGCTGTGGCAGGGAGTCTAAGGGAAGCTGCACTTGGTCCGGACACCACCTGCCCCCGGAGTGTGGGTATGAACAAGATGGCGACGCCCTACGCAGCTTTCCCCCCCCCCCCCCCGAGCAGAGTACGGCCCCCCCCAGGGCTCACTGCCCCACACCGAGCAGGGCCTCCCCCTATCTAGGTGGCCGTGACTTCCGGTGTCCTGCTGCGGCGTGGCGTCTGTGCTCCATACGGGGGTGGAACTTGCCCTGAGCTGGGCGCCGGCTCTTGGCCTAGGGGCAAATTGCACCTACTACAAATATTCGCCGGGGGACCCGAGTCGAGCTGCCCTGGGAGCGCATCGTGTCCTGTTGCGTGCTGGGACCTGTAGTTTTCACTGGTCCCAGCCCCGTGCTAACAGCACCTTTAACCTGCTCGTCTCTCCGGGGGACGGGGACCCCAGCCTGTTTCCCTCACTCCGTTCAGACTGGGCTCTTGGCGCTAGCGTCCTGTCTCTGCTTTTCCCCAGCAGGGCCTGGGGGACCAAGAGCCAATGCGGGAGTCCCCGAATTCACCTTCACCTTCCGCAGCGCCCACGACGTCTTCCGGGAGTTCTTCGGTGGGCGGGATCCCTTCGCTGACCTCTTCGGTGAGTTTCGGCCTCCGGCTCTCCTGGGGGGTTTAGAGGAGGGAGGGGAGCGTGGGCCCAACTCAGGGCACGTTTTGATTCTCTGCGGCCAGAGAAGTGGGGGAGGGACTATGAAATGGGGATTGGTGAGAGACCCCAGACACTGTGGTGTGTGTCATGGGCCCTGTACAGCTGAAAGCTCATGGAGATTCACCTTTGACTCAAGTGTTGTGGCCTGGGCTTTTGCCTTGGGGGGGGGGGGGGCTGAGTTTGAACTTCCAGGTGACAGCAGGGGCAGGGGTGAGCCTCTCCGGATAGTACCGTGCCTTCCACAGTGTCGGCTCCCTGCCCCACGGCTGGAGCAGCAGCTTCCTCCAGTGGTCGCCACGGGGGTGGTGGTGTGGGAGCCGGTGATGCCGGCCGAGGACTGCCCCACACTGGGGGCATTTTCAGCAGGCCCGGTCCAAGCAGACGCTGGCCCTTGTGCGAGAGCAACGCAGGGGAGGAGCGAGGGAGGCCGGATAGCCAAAGGCAAGAGGCCAGGAAGCGGTGGTGGTCTGGGCTCGGTCGCTGCGGGGAGGCTCCGATGCAGCTGGGGGAGGCAGCCATGCGAGCTCCTGGGCTGTACACACGGAGCAGAAGGATCCGTGCGTGGGAGGGGCTGATCTGTGAGGAAGGGTGAAGAGCCATGAGTGGGCAGCGCCAGCCCCCCCGTGGCGGTGGGTGGGGGACACCAGTGACTGGTGGAGTTAGCCGGTGTGACAAACTGGGACTGTTCTCACTGTGGTCTGTGAATGCTGACAGGGGAGTGTTGGCTGGGAAGGTTGCAGGGGGGGTTGGCTAGGGTAGGCTGCACTGGGGGGCGGG